CGAGAAGGCGGTCAAGAGCTTGGTGAAGAAGCTCAAGAAGACGGGGCAGCTGGACGAGCTGGAGAAGGCCATCACCACACAGAACGTGAACACCAAGTGCATTACCATCCCCAGGTGGGGGCCGGGAGCGACGGGGGGCGCGCCGGCCCAGCCCTCTAGGGCGGCCAGGGTGGAGAGGGGAGGGCGTGTGCGTGTGTGTGCGCTCTAGTGTTGGGGACAGGCAGTGGGTGGAGGGACCCCAAACAAAACCTTCTTCGGATTTGTCCAGGCTCAGAGCCCAGGCTTCCATGCGGCACTCTGGCTTCCAGACCTCAAGGATCCCTAGCCGCCTGTGGGCAGCAGGGGTGCTGCTGAGCTTGGCCCCCCACTCTCTGGGCTTTGGGCTCCAAGTAGAGGCCCCGCTTTGTTCGGCTCTGCCGGCCGAGCCCCTCCTCCGCCGCCGCCTCCCGCCCCGCGCTCGTGGAGGTGGTGGCGTGTGTCCCTTTCTTTTCTTCAGCTCTGTTCCCCCACTTCTTTTCCTCGTCTACAGGAATGCAGTCGGTACAGCTGTGGGTGAGGAGCGGGAGCCCGTTGATTGACAGATTCCTTCTTCGCTCTTTCTTTGCCTTGGGATTAGCATTTTTATCGAGTATTTTTAGATTTGGTTGTGCCAGCCTCCCGCCCCCTGTGCACGCATGCACGCACGCACTTAGTTGCAGAGCAAAGCACCGACTTTGAAGCGGGAGAAACAAGTGGCAGAAAGTACGGTCATTCCCTCTTCCCACCCCACGCCTGCCTGGTATGCCTTCATTTTAATTGAGAGTTTGCGGGTGCCTAGAACCGAGCAGGCAGCTCCAGACAGATAACAAAACACCCCAGAGCTGGCCTCCCTCTGTCCCTGCATTCCTGTAGAGACCTCTTTTCCCAAAACGCTTTGCCATCTGTCCTGACCTCCTTTATCCTTCCCATCGGGCTAGAGGAGTCCGGCGGGAGCTCACAGATGGCTGATGGAAGGGGTCAGTGACTTCACTCCCAGGGCCTCCCAGAGCATAACTGCGCCTGGGATGAGGGCACTTTAGCCTTCTGTCTCCACTTCTCAAGACATCTTTAAAGATTGATTCCAGAGGAGGGCAGGTGCGGATGTTGCGGGGTGGGGGTGGTGGTGGGAGGTGGTGGTGTCCCAAGCTGCAGAGGAATGGAGAGAGAGCTCCCAGGGCCTAAGATAGAGAGGTCATCATTCTTCCGGGCCAGGGTGGCCTCCATCCTTGGCCACCTGCTCAAGGCAGCTGTGTGTATGCTGCCAGCCCTAACAGTAAGGCGCAAAGCAGCATCTGTCCACAGGAGCCCAGGGTCGGCCTTCCCTGGAAATAAACACCACAGACGGTAGGGATGCCTGCTTAAAAAAAAATAGCCAAAAAACAAAACCAAAAACAACCAACCCCCAAACCTGGTTGGGATCAATAAAGGGGGAGGCGAAGGCAGTTGTCTGGGAAGAATGCTTGGCCTGTGAGCCTCTGCCAACTGGCTTTAGGGGGGTGCTGTGACGTGATGGTCACAGGCACCTGGGTTTTAGCTCCTGCTCTGGCTCCTCATTCTTCTTTATCCTTTTGACGAAGTGGAGTGGCTGAGTCTCAGGTCTCTGTCAGATCCGGAGAAATAGCCTTTTCCTAATACGCCTGGGTGCAGCCACACTGAATACTTTATGTTTTGAACCCCCTCAAGTGATATCAATTATGAAGCAGCTGGGCAGAGTGTTTCACAATTTACAAGGCACTGTCATAGGCCTGATGAAGGCCTGGAAAACAGAACAGGCAGCGAGGTCTAAAATGATCTTGCCTTTCAACCAGACAGACCTTCACAGGAGATAGGGAAAAACCTAAGACTGGGGCTAGCATACCCTTTCTCCCAGACTGTTGTGGACTCTGAGAGCCCAAAGCATCCTTATCCAGGGAGGGTGGTGGATCTCTGCCTGGAAGGTTCTTGGTTCATCTTTGGGCTGGGGTCAGCTTAGAGGAGAGACTGTGCCTTCCTTGGCCTACATTTGCCTTCTGATCTTGCTTTCACTTGCAGCCCTTCCCAGTCCCAGGCAGGTGAAGGTTTGTGTGCTTCTGAGAGTTCAGGCTAACCACCTCCACTTCACCCAGGTCTTCCAGGACTAGGCATCTTCAGACTGCACAAAGAAGGTGGTGGGTGGGAGCAGGGTTTTTGTTGGTTGGTTCTTTGGTTGTACTGAGGATTGAACCCAGGGCTCACATTTTAGGTGAGCATTCTGCTACTGAGCTACACTCCTAGCCCTGGGATTGTTTTCATTTATCTTTTCTCAACTAGAGAGACCCAGTTGCTTGGGTGGATCCAGACAAAGGTGGATCTCCATCCCTGGATTTTGTGCCCACGCCTCTGGGTCACCCTGTCTCCCTTGGCAACAGCTGCTGCTGTTTTGGCCATGGGCAGAAAGCTAAAGGCCACGTCTTGGGGAGGCGACTAGCTGGCTTCATGCTAGTGCTATCCCGGTGTCTGCTAAGCCCCAGGGTTGCGTGTTGCTTGTCACATTGCTGTCTTTGAGAACTAGGGCTTTGGAAAGTAGACAAAGGAAAGTGTGTGACTTAGTCACCAGCTTCGTGTGGGGCAGGAGGCGGGACACTGGGTGCTTCAGCACTTTCTGTCAAATCTGGAGCACAGCTTTAAGGACTCAGTCTGAAATGTGCAAAGGATGTCTTGAGCAGCGGTGGCACCGTTTGGCTGTGCTAGCTGTCTGCTACATGCCTGCCTGATTCCTACAACTCTAGGCAGTTTGAGTGATCAGGAGAACTGAGTGATACAAACTTACCACCACAAGATCAGGTGTAGGAGTTTGATTTTACTCCACAGAGGGGAGAGCAGGGCGTCTCAGATCTATCTGGCTGGGGTGGGGCAGAGCTTGGGTGAGTTCCATGCCAGCAGCCCACTCCCACCTGCTTGAGAGTCTCAGAAGAGCCACAGGTGTCCTCCTCTCCAGTTCCTAAAAGGGACACTGAAGCACCTGTCTCTCAGAGAACAGGTTCAGCATCAGCAGCAGGAGGATATCGAACACACCTTAACCTCTTTTCATATAGGCAACCAGTGGCTCACACTACTGTGTGTGGTCCATGGCTCAGCTAGTTGTTTCGAGCTGGACCAAGCTGAAAGTGTAGCTGGTTTAGAAAGGACCATAGGCTTTCTTGAAGGAGAGCACCAAGTTCAGAGAAAATTCCAAAAGTCACTTAGATCTGCTGGGAGCATCTCCCACCTCCTTTGTTCACTCTCTTTGTAGGGTGACCTCCTCCTGGGGCCTTCAGCAATGTTGCTAGGCTACCCTCAACTGGTGGAGAGAGGAAAAATATCCTCACCTGTAACACAGTTTTCTCAGGCTTCTGGGGACAAACCCAAGGCTGTAGATAATGCCCTGCAGGTCTCAGCACCTGGGCCTCCTACCTCTGTATAAACCATTGGCAGCAAGTCTACTCCCAGCTAGCTGCCCACCAGGCAGCCCATCAGGATAGGGCCTGCAGGACATTGAGGGCTTACCTAAGTGTCACTTAGTAGTCTTTGGTTGGAGGGAACTTTGACCTTTGCAGCTTGGATCCAGGGGCTGGATGTTTGGACCTGTATGTGTTGCAGGCAGCAGGGTTTTTTTTTTTGTTTGCTTGTTTTTGCTATCATTTCTGATCTATCAGGCAGCATTTTACCCTCCATTTGTGATCAGACATTATAAGCTTGCTTTTTTGTGTACTAAATGATAATAACCAGACCCGTTGGCTGTGTCTCTGAGTCAGTGTTACAAGCCCTCCTGAGGTACATTTGAGAAGATAGAGGGACTTTGGGGGAGTGGAGGGTGGGGTGGGGAAGAGGCTTATGATATATGCTTTAAATGTGAAAGCACAACAGTGGAATATTAAACAATGACAGCCACCTGCTTTCTCAGGGGAAGATAAACCTCAATCCCCCAGGAATTCAGGTCCCAGGCTTGCCATTTTAAAATTGTTTTTATTGTATTAACGTATTTATTTATGTAGTGTGTGTATGTGTGTGTGTAGTATGTATATACATGTGAGCACACGCTGTGGTATACATTTGGAAATCAAAGGATAGCCTGCAGGAGTTGGTTTTCTTCTACTATGTGAGTTCCAGATATGAAACTCAGGTCACCACACCAGGCTTGGTGGCAGGCACCTTTACTGGCTGAGACATCTTACCAGCCCAGAATTTGCCTTTTGTCACCTGGGTTTGGGACCACCAGATTTTAGAGCTCCCCTGTCTGCACCTGTAGGACTGAGGGACCAGAAGCATTTGCAGACATGCTGGGGAGATTTGTGTGCTTTGCCCTCTGTCCTTATCACTCATGGATGGGGGCTTATTCAATCATATATCAAGGACCTTTTGAGATGGCAGTGGCAGGGCCCTTGTGCTGGTGGAACTCAGCATTCCTGTCCTAAGATACAGGGCTCCCAGGGTGGCTGAGGGTTGCATGGTGCTCCGTTCTGGGAATAGGTGTGTGTGTGTGTGTATGTGTGTGTGTGTGTGTATGTATGTATATATGTATGTATGTATGTGTGTATGCATGTGTGTATGCATGTGTGTGTGTATGTGTGTGTTGGGGAGGTTGATGGTCTGAGGAGTCTGGACAGACTCCAGGAAGCCCATGGGAACTTGGTCTTTTCTTCATTATTATGAGTGCATATTTGTTGTAGAAACTGGATTTGATTATGACATTTTCAAATCCTGTTTTTTTTTTTTTTTTTTTTTTGCTCATATTTTCTTCCGATTACCCTTCATGATCTCCTGTCCCCCACTGGAATCCTTATAGTCCCTCTTCTGCTTTCATCTCTTCCATATTTAAAAAAAGAAAAAGCTCTAGATTCTGCATATGAGAGAAAGCGTGCTACGTCTGTGTCTCTTAGTCTGGTTTTTTGCATTGTGATCTCCAGTTCCACCCATTTCCCTTGAACCCCTCCTCCCCGCATGTGTGTTGTGTTGTGTGTGTGTGTGTGTGTGTGTGTGTGTGTGTGTGTTAGGACCTGAGGCCCTGTGTCTTGAATTTATCTTCTGGCTTTTGCCAAGCAGTGCATTGAATCTCTCACTAGTATAGAAGGGCTTGTGAGCTGAGTGCTGCCTAGGAC